CCCTCTGCCTATTTGTTCCCCCAACCCAGAGAGACTTGAGCAAGTAAATCCATATTGCACGAGAAAAGTCATCAACAAACACAATAAAATATGTAAATCCACTAGTAGGAATCAAGGGAGAAGGCCCCTATATGTCGGAGTTAATTAACTGACATAAAGCGGTGACATGACTAGACTCTTTTGGGGGACAAGGACAACGGGTATGTTTACCCAATTGACATGACTCACAGACTAACTCATGAACATATGACAAATCCGGTCTCAACCGTTTCAGAACTGGTAAAGAAGGCTGGCCTATCCGACAGTAAGCCTTCTGAGTTACAAAACTGTAGTCCTTGAGATTCAAAACCTGTGCCAATCAATCAACTGGTTTGTCCCTAATTCTTGAAAGACAATATATTGGAAAAAAAGTTACTAAGCAGATACGTTTGTAAACGAATATTAAGTTATCTGTAAAAGTGCGAACATAAAGAACACATGACAGATTTAAGTTTGATAGGTTGCTATTGGTTCCCACACCCCTAATTTGATAGGAAGATTAATTAACAAGTTGAGTATGGGGTATCTTAGTATTGAGATTGGATATTAGTTCTTTATTCCAAATCATGTTTTCCATGTCTCCTAAATTGATAATCTAGGATGTTGACCATGCAAAAAAACAAGCAGATATACCTAATTGTGCTGTGCTAGCATGGAGAGTAGTTGGGATCGAGAGACCTCTTCATCATGGAGTGTGCGAGTGCGGTAATATTAGCTATAGATGCTTCCTCAACTTTTGGAAGGATGAGGCGGTGGTTGAGATCCACGGCCAGAAGTAGGACCATTCGGTCAGTTATACTTTCTATGTCCAAACCTCTTGCAATAAAAACATTTGATTTTTTTTCTATACTCGTCCCTTTCACCATTTCTGCTACTAGAGGTTGTAAAAGCCTATATGTCACTCCTGGATGACTCAGATGGGGAGACACTAGATTACATTTCTCGTGCAAGATGATACATAAGTGCCATTGACTAAGATGTTGAGTGACTTAGCATAGAGGACGAGCACCAAAATTTTTAGTTGACAATCACGAAATGAACGTCATTACGTTCGTTTTTGCTAACCGCTTCTCTTGAACTTTAACATTAGGAGTGATAGGGAAAAAGAACAAGGAGCTCCTTACATAGCTTTGATAGCCTCTTATTGACTTGGTGAGATCGGAGTCATCTTGCTCGCATCTAAAATAGGATCCGAATACGAATTAATTATGAGACAAGGATTCCTTGGCCGAGAAGGAAGACTTCGAGTGGATTCACTTTTTCTGTGGTAGGGTAGTTCTGAGCAATACTTAGGACTTGTGGTTCCATTGCATTCCATAGGGCCATTCGAATATCAATATCATTGAGCTTAAATGCTTTCCTCGATTTGGTACCGCTCACGCGGCTCGCATCGAAACAGTGCTTGAAATTCATAGTAATAGAGATACATGTCTTTGGAGGCAAATCTTTGCCTGTTAAATTCCTAAGTTTTAAGATTCGTAGGGTCCTAGCTTAAATAATTATTGTTGTCCAGGTTTGAACAAACATACTCCATTGAGCCTAATTTTTAGAGTTGAGTTTGATCGAAATCTTTAACACAACACAAAAGTAATTATACCGGTGAAAACGATGAAGACACTGGACGTCGATTGTTTAATTTTGTGTCTGTGACATTGTTGGACTTGATTGTATAGAAGGATGGAGGTGGTTCTCTTACAATAATGATTCATGGTTCTTGATAAGGGAAACAAGGGACAAGCAACAAGCAACCAAGAAAAGAGGGAAAGCACACACAATAGAATTTATAGATTTGGAAACACAAGCGGCGGTGACGGTGGGGCCGGCGACGTTTTCCCTTTTTGAAGTAGGAAGAACACGCCGGCGGTTATGGAGGAGGGAAGCAACGGCGATTTTGGAGAAGGCATTGACGGCGATAGTTCTGGAGGAGGAAGACTTTGGTAGCGTTGGATCTGGACGAGGATCGAGGTAGCGATAGCGGATCTGGATGAGGGCGGCGGCTAGGGTTTCGGCAAAGTTCCAATGGCAACGACGTTTAGGGTTCCTTCATGGCTCTAATACCACGATATAATTATGAGAATTGTGTTTGTTTATTCATAGTAGAAGAGGACACAAACATTTATACACAAAAGAGTCCTTGTTGGATCCCAGATCTCATATTGAATCAATGATCTAAAGAAAATATGTAAAGCGGAAGCAATGTTAGATCAAAGCAGTTTATAAATGGAAGAACAATTAATCAATATGAAAAACAATATGAAGATAGAATTGTAGTGATATGATTAATCGTGGCTATCAACCTTACATGGATCGGAAATGATGAGGGTATTTGGAGATGGAGTGTTTTTAAAAAAACAACTCACATTCACAAATTACAAAGGGGAAAGGGACTCCTATTTATAGGGAAATACAAGAAATAGTGGTTTTCCTACTTTATGACCAAGTTTTCCTTTTCACACTTTTAACTCTAAAATTGGGATTAACAGTCCTCTATATTAGGAAACTACACAAAGAAGCCAGAAAGTAAAGCCCTAGATATCTAACTATATAGGATATCTAACATATTTAAATAGGATACTATACATAAACTATAGCCACCCATCCAGTACATACTATGCGGGACGCTTTTAGGAGTAGGTGGTAAAATAATAGAAGGTCGGGCGTGGACCTTTTTATCACAATTATACCAGAAATACTTACGGCTGTGCATCATTGGTGATAAAAAGACTGAGGATGCTTAGTCACATTGGCCTTCGGTATCATATGTATTTTTGGAGTATGCTATAGTGCTTTTAATTCATATTTTCTTGAGGAATCTTTTTTGTATAAGCAATAAAACTGTGCACATGTGATTTACAATGTGTAAGATTACGTTGTGAAGGCCTTCCTTCTCTCTCTCTACCCTACATACATATGCATGCAATTCCCTCTTATTTTCATTCCTTTTTAAATAAATTGCTGTTGATGATATATCAGTACATCTCAGCTTATAGCTATAAGAGATGAGCTTTTCGAGACATTCAGGAAGAGACACAGGGGAGTAATGGAACTCGAAGAAGTGCAGCTAACTTCTAATTCACTACACAGGTTGGTTGGAGAGTTAACAATTTGAAACCGAAAGCGCATGTATAATGTTTTAGTATTCCTAAATGTAGCCATCTATGAAAGAACTTGTATTTATAAAAGTATTTATTGTTATATGTCATAAAATTTTATTGAAGAACAAAAATCTACTAGTAGCCATATGATGTTCGAAGTAAATTTTGCAAATTACACATTTTCCATCTATTAGATTAGCAAAATTGCACACAAGCTCTGTAGTATGTGTGTGATCTGGCGCAAATTGGATTATTTAGATATTGGTTTTCTGGTGGCATGGGTTAAGTTTTGCCAAAAATAAATGAAGCAAAATTGTGGGTCTTCATGCTTCATAGAATTTAAATGGTGTTTTTTAAAGAGGCTGTGCAATTTGTTGACGTGGGGCAGGCTCAATGATAGAATAATTGGAAATTTGAATAGGAAGGAAAACAACAGCATCTCTGCGCATAAGAAAAAAATGAGAAATATAATGGTTGACCATTGACACAGCCAACATTTCAAGGAAAGCTGAAAAGTTCCATATGTAAATGACATGTGTGCCTTACATTTACAGAGATTAAAACTCATGTTGTATCTTTATATTGTAGTTATTGAAAGACCTAAGTGGATTCATTTTCATTTGACGAACCTATTCTTGCTCTGAGTTATAGTAGAGCAGATAGGGAACCATATGTCTTTGTACCTATCACCACCTTGACATAATGCAATGCTTTTTTTTTTGATCAGTTTCTGTTCCATAAGTGGCGTGTTTGAATTCATCAACTTTGGTGATGGTAACAAGGGCTTATCAAACTTACATGTTTTCTTTTTGTGCAACTCTTTTTGCAGAATGTTGTTGGCATTTAGTGAGCAGACTAAAGGTCAAAAGTTCCCAGCAAATGCTTCGGACCAAGAAATGCTTGAAATAGTTATGGGCAGGTATAAGTTCTTTCCTGTTTGGTGCTCGCCATATTGGCAATAAAATTACTTGTGAAAATCAAAGTGCAATAAAATGATAAAAGGTGGACCATTGCTCTAGTTAGCATGCTCTGTGTATGAGGTTCACCGAGTTTCATCCCTTAGATTGGTAGTATGTTTGTCAATGTCTTTCAATTGTAGCAGTTGCCATAACCTCCATACTCTTGCTATTGCTGTAGTTGTTAGAAGTGGGGGCTGATGTTCCTAGAAGGCTTTGGTGTTGGCGTCTGTCCAGTTAACTTTGATGCATGTTACAATATAACCTTTCAGTCTATATGATTGATTGTTAATCGAACAGGGATCTAGCTGACAACTCTCAAGTCTTCCAAATTCATTTACAGTTTATGTTAGTTCTTGGCTAGAGTCGACAACCGGTTTTTGTTGGGCTTTGAGGATATGTGTTGGGTACTTGGTCATTTGTAGCAATTGATCTTATTAGCTTTTGTTTCTGGGATGTATTTGACACTGTCAATGCTTCTTCTTGGAGATGCTCTCTTCAGGCTTTATTAGACCTTGTTGATCTTATTCAACATGATCATTGACATATCTGGGATTTTATAGGCAATTGCTGAATGTTCTGTTAGGCCCTAAACACATGATATGTTAATCACCACAAGCTGCTATTCGTTCCTTGTGAGGGTGGCTCCTTTCCAGTAAACGGAAAACCACACTGCAAATCTGAGGGACCTCCTGGTTTTAGGATACCCCTTCATGGACCTTGCATATAATATGACAATAATGGAAGAGCATCAAACTTTTTTCTGTCGCCAAAAATCTAATAGGTTCATATGGTCAGTAGAGTTTGTTAAATAAATTGAGCTATTATGTTTGAAAATTTGACGAAGAAAATGACACTCATTTTATCATTACAAATTATGTTTGTAAGAAGAAATTTATCAAGAAGGATATGTAAAACTGCTCTCCCTCTTTGTTGCATAATAATCAGAACACGCCTTTTGTCTAATTTTGTATCTCGAACTTGCCTATCTGCCAATTAGTAAATGTTAAAAGATATTGGTAATATTGATTTCGATTCACAAGATTCCGTTATTTTGTTATCGTGATTTATTTATTTTGTCACTGTTGAGGGATATTTTAGATACGTTAGTACTTTTCTGATTGGCACACTTCCATTAAAATATTCACACGTTCCAACATTTTTGGGGATCAAGAGGGTAGTTGATTTTTAATTAAAACCACCCATAAAAGGATGTAAATGTATTCAAATGTGTACGTAGCCTAAATTGTCTTATTCAAAGGAATCATATTATTATCTTAGTATTATAATTTTTTTTGTAACGATTCCTAATGCATTATGTATTTGTAAAATTAAAAAACTGGACAAAAACTGCTGGTGGGTCAATCCAACCCCACCCATTGACTCGAACTAGGAAACTACCAATTTTGAACCGAACCCATTATGACATGCTAGTCAACACATTCGACTTGCCCATTTTGCCATTTGGCACTCATATGATTGTGAAACCCAAAAGCTAAACATGAAGAGGTGAACCGCTTAGGTGGTGTTTGGTTCAGAAATTGGAATTTGTCAAAGGAATTGGAATGGAATTTATTCATGTTTGACCATGCATTTGGTTGGCAAAAATTGGAATGAAATCTGTCAAAAAATTTAAATCTGTTTGTTTGGCTCGTTGAATATAATAGTAGTAGTGGGATGAAGGTGGTAATAGTGTCGATGATGGTGGTGGTGGCGGTGATGGTAGTAGTGGCGGTGATGATGACTGTGGTGACTTGGTGGCGGTGACTGTGGTACTGATGACAGTGGTGGTGGGGGTGATGGCAACAGAGGTAACGAAGGCGACAACAGTGGTGGTGGCGAAGGTGACATCCATCATGGTGGGATGGACTGGAATGGAGTAAATATAAAAGAACCCAAGGGTGGTACGAAGGAATTGGAATTCCTTGCTAGAACCCAAGGAATTTACATTTCTCCAGATTTGGAATTTGAATTATTTACCAAAACTCAAAGAATGAACCAAACACAGGAATGGAATTTGGTGAACGGAATTGACCATCCCAATTTCTCCAAATTCCTCCGGATTCCGATGAACCAAACACCATCTTAGGATTTTGGGACATGAATGGTATCTGTGGAAGGAGCAGTTAGGTTTTTCTTATGGAAGTTAAGAAGGCATTTGTTGCACATAGTAATCATACGATGTCTTCTATTACGTGGGTCTCACTTGATTCATCTAGGTGTAACTAATGTATGAAGTGATATTTTGCATACTGTACTTGTAGCTTCATTGGTCATTTTTCTTATCTTAATTTGAATATGTTTATTAATTGATTGTAGATACGAGCAGGACCTTATGCATCCGATCCAAAATCTTCTTGGGGGAGAGCTTGCTCGTGCAATGCTTATCCAAGTAACATACTACCGCACTTGTTTTGTTTTGCTAGTCAGTGATTTCAAACTGGTACATGACATTAGAATTTTTTGCCATATGACAGATTCAGAAGCTAAAACTTGACATTGAAACGTGAGTTGAAACAAGCATTTCATTGTGCAGGTTAAATCATTTTATGATCAATGTTATTCAACTACTGTTTCTAATGACTATATCACAACAGGGCAATGCTTGAGCTCAACCAGATTCTGAGGGCCAATGAGATAAATTTCGCCATTCTTGCTGCTTTACCAGCATTCTTTCTCTCCCTCCTTGTGCTCATGTTATTGCGTACATGGGTGAAACAGGTATGCCATGCATGGTGTATTCTATTAAACTACTGCCTTATGGTGCATGTATGAGATAAAATGGATGAGGTAGCTTACTTGATCAGAAGCAGCTCACAGTAAGGTCAAATGCAGATGATTAAGTTGAGTTAGCTTGGTTCAGTAGTGTGATTAAACAAGGTAATAGGTCATGTTTTCAAATTTGGTGAGATCAGATTGATCATGAAAATAATACTACCTATGTGGTTTCTCTAGTATGAAAATGCTTTTGTAAGTCTTTGTTTCCATACTTCCAGTAAGATATTCTTTTTATTTGCAATTTATAAGAACTAAAATCTAAGTTCTCGAATAGTTAGTTGGGTGATTACTATTAGAAAAAGTCAACCAAGCTCTCGGTCCTTGTAAGGATTAAATTATATTTTTCAACAATTGTGTCACAAAGAAGGTTTTTCACGGGACTGTTTGGTTGGAGGTATTAGAAGGTAATGGATGGAAACGATAATCATTGATCATGCTTGGTTCAAATCAGGAATGGAAATGGAATGAAAAGTGGTGTTTGGTTTTAGATTTTTAATCAATCATTATAATAGATTTGGGTAAAAATCATTCCTCCCTTATTTGGGCGGGATAGAAACTTCTTCTCCAAGTCTACCTCTCACCCCTCTCAAGCATCACCAACTTACCCTTTTGTTCCCGTCTTCATGGCAGCAACACACTCAGCTTCTGCAACCCCATTACCGGCGGCCAACAGATCTGCGAGTTCCTTCTTCATCTCTCGTGAACCCTAGCTCCAGCCCTAAGGTAGCACCTCCAAACACTGATCTGGCGCCTCCAAACACAGATCTATCGAGAGATGAAATTACCTTCGTTTTTCAAGATGAAGTAAGGGATGAAGAGGATTTTGATTTTCGTTTTCAGAGATAAAATAAGATATTAAGATGATTTCGATTTTTTTTGGGAGATGAAATAAGATGAAGATGTGTTGGATATGCTTGTTGTGATGTAGATGAAAATGGAGACGTGATGGAAATGGATATATATGGAGATATGTTGGAGATTCTTGCTGTCAATTTGAGGGAAGTAGTGCTCCATACCCTGTAGCTTAGGTAAGGCGGAGGATTAATTTCAATTAACTTCCGATAGAGGTATCTCGAGCCTTCTGTTGTACCAATGTCTCCGTGGCCCCATTTCGCCTTACCAACCCCAAGGAAACTCCGAATACAGGCCGGGTTTTCACGAGCGTTGGCGGGTTCTGGAGTGCCGTTCTGGTTGGCTTAGATTATTTAGACTTTTCTGGCCATGAATTCTGGAAAATTTTCCACGTTCATAGGAGTGCATCTATGTTTCTGCTTTACGAATATGATATTTTTTGGGCATTTCTAATAATATCAAGTCTTATTCCTATTTTGGTATTTTTCATTTCGGAATTTGCACCTATTTTTATCTATTTAGTGATCAGTCCGGTAAGATGCAGATAAAACGCCAAAAAGCAACCAAAGCGGAGCCCTTATAGTCCGAAAAAGAATATTGATGATATATAATTCCAATATGTAAGGTCTATGAGAATTAGAGATGGAGATGGAGACATGATGGAGATGGAGATGCTGTGCAGGGATTTTTTCTTGGAAATGAGGAAGCTTTTTTTGAACATATTTAAAAAAGATCACGAATAATATAATAGAATGGAATAAAAAGAATGATTCCCATTCTACTTTATTATCATTACCAATCCCATTTTCATTCCTTGAAATGAACCTACCGCCCCCTCAAGTTTCTTATTAATGGTTAGAATTTATTTAAAAAGATTGGTCCCTAAGTTTTGTTCCTGACATGGACTGCAGCTGCTGGAAATATTGTTATATAACCTAAAATATGTGATTGAACGTGGAAGACATTTAGTGGAACTCGTTAAAAATGCTACACTAGGTGAAACATGAACGAACTTAATGAACACCCTAACTTAGAATATGGACACTTGGATTCCTTTTCTGTACTCCCTCTGTTCTTTAGTGGTTGTCCACCTACTAATTCACATATACTTTGCCCGTGTTCTTTAGATGGAAAATGGAAACACTTCACCTGCACCCATTTTGGGACATTCACTGATACTTGTCCTCTAAAATGCGACTAAGTAATGTTTTTGGATTATCATGTGTTTTATCATCATAATAGAAACATGACTTTCTAGTGGTCATTTTGCTTGCATTTGAGGCTAATAACTTGACATAATTCTCTCCATAGTAGAACTCGGGGCCTGTCTTTTTTGTTACCTGGACTTTGCTGTCAGTTGTGAGTCCCAAGCCTGTTATGTGTACTTTTGTCTTTCCTTATATGATATTTGCCAGAGGTGCAGTGTTTTTTTTCAAAAAGATTGTTATCTTTACTCTGTTTTCTAATGATCGTCTTACTTTCCATTTTGATATGCTCACAGATACTTGGCTGACTCTTGGCTGTATTGCTATTAAATGGTTTACAATCATAATCTAAACAACACCTTTTTAGTGATCAATTGGCTGGTCTTTGAGGCTATAATTTGAAATAATAGAACTGCTTCCAAGCATGTTCTTTTAGCTTAAATTCTAAAACCTTGGTGACAAATCTTAGCTTGATAATATCTTGTTTCCTTGATATTTTCCAGAGATGGTTTAATGCATTGCACGATACTTGTTATTAGGAATCTATAAAACACATTGGCTGATTAAGAACCATCATTTCTACATGTTAACTCAGGTTTATGCATTTGCTCATTCCGTGCTGTATTAGTAGTTTAGTGTGATCACCTGTGTTTACCATTAATATTAGGTGTACTAACTCTCTATTCTTTCTTATCGTGATTGAACTATAGGCGCACTAGTTGTATGTATTGTGGTGCACTAGTACTAGATTATCTTATGATTCTTGTGTCTCAGGACACTAGGGCAGAAGGCAAAGGGAGAATTGCTCGAGTGCAAAGAAGACTACTAATTGTGGAAGTTGAGAAGAGAATTATGCAGTATCAGAACTGCATTGATCAGGGACTGGTAAACTCTTACCTTTTTATATTTTTTAGTTAGAAATAACTCAAAATTTAGGACCATATTACATGGTTTTATGAGTTTATCTTAGGGAAAAGTTCATAAAAACCCAGATAACTATCCCATTTTGAAAGATTAAGTCCTTGAACTATTTTTTAATGAAAAAACCGTTAAACTTTCTTATTTTGAATGATTAAGTCCTTGAACTATTTTTTTTGAATGAAAAAACCATTTAACTTTCTCATTTTGAATGCTTAAGTCCCTGGTAATAAATAAACCATCGAACTTCTCAAAATTGGTTTTCTACATTCTTTTAACAAAAAAACTACTTGTAATCGACTAAAAAAGTCTTAAAAGTAAAAAAAAAACTTTAAATCAGTTTTACCATTTCCAAACCCTACGCCATTCAAACCCCTCGCAAACAACGGTATCACCCCTTCTTTCGACTCTCTGTCGCCCCATCGTTGCCGGTTCTTCATATCGGCTATCACATTGTTTTCTCTGTTATCGATCTCCCTCTTTTTGATCTATTTTTAAGGGGTTACAAGTAGTTTTACTTTAAGACCTTTCTATTCGGTTACATGCAGTTTTTTTTTGTTAACATATGTAAGTAATCAATTTTAAAAAATTCGATGATTTAGTTTATTGAAAAAAAATGTCTTAAGGCCTTAATCATTCAAAATGAGAAAGCTTAATAAATTAGTTCAAGGACTTAATCATTCAAAATGAAATAGTTTGTCGGGTTTTTCTGAACTTTACCCTTTTATCTTATGGTGGGCCTGCTTTATAATAAATGCCAAGACCGCCTTCGACCCTTTTTGTTGCAATACAATAGCAATTTTCCGTTCATGTATTACTTTAATAAGCCATTGGAGAATAGCTCAAATTTATTTTTCATAAGCAAGATGTAGAATGAGAATCAATCGTTCACCAGGAAGTTCCAACCCAATTGTACTTCCTAGGGGTGTTCACGGTGCGGTTTGGGGCTAAACCACAAACCGCACCGCATATATCTCAAACCGCAAAAAATTATAATTATAATTATAAGATTAGAACTTTATTATAAAATCAGCAATCACGTTACCGTAGTCTAGACAAATAAAAAGTTCAAATGCATCCGATTCCGAAATACATATTACATAAATAGAAAGTCTATGAAAGCTAAAAATATTATATAATTAAAAAGAGTCTAAGAAAACTAAAAATAAAATATAATGAAACTAGCCTAATTATTATATATAATATACATTAAAAATGTAAATAAAATGTGTGTTGCCGTTTGAACTGCGGTTTGATAACTTAAAACTGCAAACCACACTGTATAGTGCGGTTTGGTAAAAATGCAAGCAACAAACATGTTATGCGACTACCTGTTTGATTCACGTATAGTCGGAAGAGATGTTCAAATCAACCAAATTAGGAATAGTTCACAAAAGAATAAGAAAGGATGGCATTTCTAATTTGTTAGCTGTCGTGGGTGAGGGTAATTTTTTGGTATTATTTAGTATCCATTTTGATGATCAACCTATTAATAAGAAGGGGGATATAGGGAATAGGTATGCAGAAAATGAATCCTTTGTATGGAGAGTGTAGCCTCTCGAATTGCTAGAGTGTTTTCTTTCTCTAATCCGATTAGTGCAGCTTGTCAACTTATTCTACATTCTTTTTGGTTTGTTATTCCTATAAATTTCTGAGTCATAACAAAGTGGTATCTGAGCAATCGAATCTTGTGCATGGCTCCCCCAAAGTCTATCCAGGGTGGAGTTGATAGAAGAAGATATCGCGGTGGTGAGAGCGACTTTAGCAGATTTATAACAGACTTTGTAGCAGTTCAACGAGCAATTGGCTTTAATCACCAAGCGATTTTCAAAATCGATGGCAGAAAACTCGCAACTACATATGTCTATTTGGGAGGAGGTCCGAGCCACGCTATCGGAACCCAATTTTTCTTTCACAGGACCCCACCGACGGGAAGTCCAACTGAGGTGGGAGACCGTCCAGGTGGAACAACGAACCAGGGGGTTCTAATTGGCGTTTCAGAAAAATAGACATGCCTTTGTTTGATGGCAGTCATCCAAACAGTTGGATTCTACATGCTGAACTTTATTTTTTGTTCTATGGATTGAATGAAACTGAGAAGTTAGAAGCAACGGTGGTGGCTTTGGAAGGCGATGCGCTGTTGTGGTATCAATGGGAAAAACAGTTCCGACCGGCAAGTGCTAGATCTCTTCACGAACAATGGCTGGCTCTCATGCAGAAGGGCTCGGTGTTGGCATACCAGAGACGATTTATTGAATTGGCTTCTCCCTTAACTAATATCCCCGATGAGATCTCCTTGGCCACTGCATCAATGGGCCTGCGGGCTGAAGTTCGAGTACTTGGGCCCCGAAATCAGGAGCAGGCGATTTCACAAAATAAATTAGAGGAGAAATTTAGGTCTAGCATGGGAAGAACAAAGTCTCGAGCATCAGTATCTTTGTATGGCTTAGGTACCCTTCAAAAACTTTGCCCTCCCAAACTGCGCCCCTCGTTTCTCAGGTTCGTGCCCTACCTACTTTTGTACCCCTGATCGAACACAAATTCATCGGGATCGGTGAACTCAAATGTCTCGAGTAAACCCCTAGGTGAGGTTCGTAGACTATCAGATAAGAAATTGCAAAGTAAAGGAGAACGTGGTCTATGTTTCCGGTGCATCGAAAAGTGGAGTTTGGTCCACCGTTGTAAATGGATGGAGTTGAGTGTTCTACTAACCCATGAAGAAGACGAGACTGAGGACAGAAAGGAGACTCATGGGGAAGGTATAACTGAAAATCTGCAGCTAAGAGATTTGTCTTATATTTATTATGGGGATCATCAACCCAAAGACTCTTAAAATGAAAGGGGAGATAGAAGGGTCTGAGGTGACTGTCATGATTGACTTTGGGGCAACCCATAATTTCATTTCCCTATCTATCATCAACTAGTTAGGCATTCCAGTAAGCAACTCTAGGGAGTTTGGGGTTTCCTTGGGCATAGGAGAAGCGGTCCAAGGATGTGGTGAATGTCAAGGGGTCCAACTCCGAGTTCAAGGGTTAGAGATTATCGAAGATTGTCTTCCATTAACGTTAGGTAATTCGGATGTGATCCTAGGTGTTCAATAGGTGGAAAAATTAGGTGCGGTGACAACAAATTGGAACACAAATTATGAAGTTCCAAGTCAGCGGGGTGGCAGTAACATTGAAGGGGGATCCTTCGTTGGATCGATCGAAAATAACGTTGAAAAACATGTTGAGGACTATTTTTAGAGGATGAGGGGGGTATCTGTTACAATTAAATCAAGTTGAAAGGACCTCCCCATTGGAGACTCTGCTTGCATCTTCTGAATGTACTAACTCCAAAACGGGGTAAAGAGCATACCATTAACTTGAAGGAAGGGGTGGGGCCAGTGTCGGTGCGGCCATATGGTTATCCACATGCTCAAAATGCCGAGATCGAGCGCCTAGTCCAAGAGATGCTACATGCTGGAATTGTACAGCGGTCAAATAATGACCGTTCTCCAGCCTTGTTCTAGTCAAGAAATAGGATGGATCGTGGCGGTTTTGTGTTGATTATCGAGCGTTGAACAAGGCTACTATCCCAGATAAGTACCCCATAGTCGTATCGATGAATTGCTGGATGAGCTACATGGGTCGCATGTTTTCTCAAAGTTGATTTGAAGTCGGGATACCACCGGATTCGATTTAAAGACGAAGATGTGACTAAGACTGCTTTCTGTACCCATGAGGCTCACTATGAATTCTTGGTCATGCCATTCGGCCTCACTAACTCCTGCCACGTTTCATTTGGTGATGAACAGTATATTCAAGCCCTTTCCACTAAAATTGTTACTCGTATTCTTGTATGACATTTTGTTGTACAGCCAAAGCGAACATGTGGAGCATGTAGCAACCGTCTTGAAGCAATTGGCCGAGCATAAATTTTATGCTAGTCCCAGGAAGTGCGTATTTGGCAAACAAGAGGTCGGTTATCTCGGTCATGTGATATCGGCGGTTGGCATAGCTGTGGCCCCAGACAAGATTAAGTCCGTGGTGGAGTGGCCTCAACCGAAGACCTTACATGAGCTAAGAGGATTTTAAGGTTAATCGGATATTATCGAAAATTTATCGCAAGTTATAGTAGAGTGGCATTTGGGCCCATAGATAGAGGCATCCCATCCAATGCCTTTTCGTTATCATTCCGTGGGGGCTTTCTAGAAGAAAGGAGTTGGCCTCTTCCTTAACAGATCAGCTAAAAAGAGACTGTTTTGGATGGTCAGAAGCAGCTACCGAGTCATTTCAGAAGCTGAAGACAGTGTGGACTCAAGCCCGGTTCTCGCAATGCCAAAGTTCACCCAAACATTTGTTATGGAGGCTAATGCATGTGGGTTTGGTGTAGGTGCACTGTTGCTCCAAAACGATCATCCTATCGCCTACTTTAGTCAAGTATTGGGGGCATGAAACTGTATGGAACCCATATATGAGAATGAGTAGATGGCAATTGTCCTTACAGATAGAAGTGGAAGACACTTTATGATTCACACAGATCAGAGGAGTCTTAAATTCCTCATGGAGCAACACGAGGTGGGATCGGACTACCAAAAGTGGGTGAGGAAGCTCATGGGATTCGATTTCGAAACTCGTTATAAACCTGGTTCGTCAAATCGAGTGGCAGATGCCCTATCCAGGAATTTCTGTCAGAAAAGGAAATGAGCACGATTTCTCATCATGGTCCATGCATGTGGAGGAATTGGAGAAGGAAATACAGGCAGACCCTTCTCTAATGAGGGTTGCTCATGATATCGAAATTGAAGGGAAGAACCATGCAGGTGATGCAGTAGATCAAAAGTGGTTGTTTTTCAAGGGATGGTTAATAATTCCGTGTAACTCATCATTTATTCCTAAGTTGTTTCAGATGTGTCATGATTCGACGATTGGAGGACACTTGGGGGAGTTTAAGACCTGTCAACGCATGGCTGTAGAATGGTTCTGGGTAGGGATGCATCGAGCGGTCCAGCGGTATGTTCAAGCATGTTCCATGTGTCAACAACAAAAGCTGCTACAACCCACCCGGCTAGCCTCCTGCAGCCACTACCAATACCATCCCTGGTGTGGGACAAGATAACCATGGATTTCATCTAGAGCTTGGCTCGTTCAAAAGGTTATGACACGGTGCTAGTGATAGTCGATCGTTTAACAAAATTTACCCATTTTATAGCCTTGATACATCCATTTAATGCAACAACTGTGGCGGCGTTGTCTATTAAAGAGGTGGTTCGTCTTCACGGGTTCCCATCCACCATTATTTCAGATCGAGATAGGGTCTTCATGAACAACTTTTGGCGGGAGTTGATCCGTCCGCAAGGTACCACACTAATGCGTAGCACTGCATACCATTCACAAACCGACGGTCAATAGGAAATTGTCAACAAATCGGTAGAAACGTACCTTCGTTGTTTTATACAAGGCAGTCCTTGCAGTTGGGTTCAATGGTTGCCATGGGCGGAGTTTTGGCATGACACTTCGTATCATACTGCCTCAAAATGTACACCCTTCAAAGCGCTCTATAGTCGGGATCCCCCTCGATTGTGTCGAATGCAACCAGGTAGCACAGGGATGTCTACATTGGAGGAACTATTGGACCGCGATGCAATAATAGATGAATTGCGATCCTATCTCATTCGAGCCCATTCCCAACAACAAATAAAGGAGACAACTGACAAACCGTGACGAGATCTCTGTTTTGATATAGCCGAGCGGGTATATTTGAAACTTCAACGTTACCATCAGAAATCTAAGGCCAACCGCCCCTTTCAAAAGCTTGCAGCGCCTTTTTATGGGTCCTTTCAAGTCACCCTACGTGTGGGAAGTGGCGTATAAACTCCAACTGCCAGAGTCTGCACGCAATCCATTCCATGTTCCACATTTCACAACTGAAGAAAACCATTGGGGGGCAACCGTCTTCACCCTCGTTACCCCCACACATAAATGAAGACATGGGTTAGAAGTATGGGGTTCGTTCAATGGAGGCAGGTGAAAGGAACAAAGTGGAGGTTTTGCTTAAATGGAAAGATTACACAAGTTTGAAGCAACCTGGGAAGATTTTGATACCATGCGGTGGGTTTTCCCTGACTTTCCCCTTGAGGACAAGGTGGCTCGTTGGGAGCGGGTAATGTTATGCGACCACCGGTTCAATTAACGTGTAGTCAGAAAAGAGGTTCAAACCAACCAAATTAGGAATGGTTCACAAAAAAATAAGGATGGCATGTCTATTTCGTTAGCTGTTGTGGGTGAGGTAAATTCTTGGGTAGTATTTAGTTTCTGTTTTGATGATCAACCTATTAATAACAAGGGGGTTACAGGGAATAGGTATGCAGAAAATGAATCCTTTGTATGGAGAGTCTAGCCTCTCGAATTGCTAGAGTGTTTTCTTTCTTTAATCCGATCAGTGCAGCTTGTCGACTTATTCTACATTTTCTTTGATTTGTTATTCCTTTAAATTCCCGAGTCATAACACCGCACCACTGAAGTTCTAAACCATGCTTTGCTGTGCTGTGTGGGTGGTTTGTGCAGTTTGGATGAACACTACTTCCATTGGGGAACATTTTTGTCACGACAACTACCAAGTTACATAGCAATAATATTTGTAAGTTCAAACCTCGCTCAATTGGCAAATAAAGGCTAGGCCTTGGGACTTCTTCCCATAGGTCGCCAATTGAAGTCTTCTGAGGGGCACTAGGGATTTTCCTGGCTGTTATCTTCAGAGCCCTATGGGATTGCTGGCCTAGAGCGCCCAAGGTTACCAAAAAAATATTTTTGAGTTTAGGAAGTCATCATATTTGTGCTGATGGTCTATAAAAGGAACTTGCTGTCCACTCTAAGCTCCTTTCTAAAATGGCTTTAGGTTTAGGGTGTAGATATCTTTTACTTGTATATAACTGAATATAAATGAATACGAGCATGATAGTGAACTGATGGACTGACACTAATAAGCTCAAGTCTAACCCAATTCTATCTTCCAACATACCTTGATTATGCTTTCTTCAAAAAGTTTGGGCCAATTCCAAAATATTAAACACAGAAATGGAGTCCCTTATGTTGATTTGACGCAAGTTAATGCCAATTTCATAGGCAGAAAGTATACTATGAATCATGCATGTATCAACTAACAGCAGTTGCGTATGTGGCACAGCCGTCTTTGAATCATTCTGATGAGTACTCTTTTCCTGTTTTCTTGTGGGTATTATGCAAGTGTAATCCTTTTTAGATGGAAACTTCACTCTTGGTATCAATTATCATTACACATAATAATATCTTGGAATATTACCGCTATATTCTACTGGCATATGATATGGGTGACAATTCAAATTCTCCTATTTTCTCCTCTTTCCGGTATATCATTGTCACATTTGTTTACAAACTAGTATATAGGTCAGGATGGGAAAGTGCTTCTGCAGTGTGAACTTTGAAATGCATGGCCTTTTCTTTAATGTTTGAGATTTATGTATATTAAATGATCTTGTGGGGGAGAGAGGGTTCTTGTAATAGGTTTGTCATGAAAAAGAGAAGTAACGAAAAGATTAGAACTTCTATGTCAAGTTTATTCTTGTAAATAAGTTTTGGTAGAGAAATTGAAGAACTTCTGTCTAGCCCTGCTAGCAGGGCCATCTACTAAATACGCTGTTTGACAGCACCTCAACTTCTATAAGTAGCATATCGTGGAACGCTGTAGTAAGTATATTGGATTACCTTTTTTTAATAAAATGTCTTATCTGGCGACTTTTTGTGATCGTGCTAGACTGAATTACTGCTTATTGGACACTATTTGCTACTTTTATGATACTGGGAGTATGCTGGATCACCAAGATGGAAGATAGATAATCCTTTTGTTTCAAGAAGAAAACCACAATTTGAATTTTGCTTTCTAAGCTGGTACCCTCCAATGTTAAATCAGTATGAATTGCTTTCCAATTTAACAATAACATTCCTTCTGTTGAATTACTTGTAAAGTTTTCTTTTATTTATTTCTAACATATTTATCTTGGAAGGTCTCATAAGTGGTCGACCTTGCTCATTTATAACTGTTTTGGGAGGTTGCACGTGTTGGGCCTTCATCTATTATTGGTTGCTTCTTTTCGGTATAAAATGGCAGAGGCAACCATACTGATGGTTGTTATTTTGTACCAACGGATGCCACTTTTTTTAAAACGCATGTTCTCTCACACACTGTGATCCTTGCATCTAACCATTATTGTTGCTTTGTGTTGTTTTTTTTGTTTCTCTTGCTCTCATCCATAAACCACTAATTATTGCTCCACAGTACTGCAATTATTCAAGACCCATCTTGCTTGGAATGTGCATGCCATATGATGTTAGGACTTTTTTTGAACATTATTATGGTGCATGAACCAAAACTTATTTACGGGATATTTAGGAGAATAACCTTCCGATAGATTTATTTTCAAATGCATGACCTTCCGGCATATTTTGAGGCATTCTTGTGTTAGGAAGAGACACTCTTCTGTAGGTAGAGACATTCTTAAATGGCAGAAATGTTGTGCATTTAAAAATTAATATATTAGAAGGTCATTCTTCTAAATAACCCACTAATTTACCATGTGGAACTCATAGTCTTTCAAAATGAACCATCAATAATCATGAACACAAAATCGCCACCTATCAAATTACTAGGAATAAATTATTGAAAATTGATATCATAGTCCAATGTACGTCTCTTCTCACTGGCATTACATTGCCTTAACTTTGCAGGACAAAGATGCTCAATGTATGTATGGATTGGTTTTGTATGCACTGGACCGGCTTTACAGGGCAGTGGAGAGACATGCTAAGGCAACTGGTGAATGGCAGTGGTTAGTTATCTTTCTTTTATATCAATTCATTACTTGTCCCTCTCAAAATAAGGGTTCACATTTCTATTTTAGTTTGTCCCAAATAAGTGCTCACTTTCAAAATCAAGTGCATATTTACCAATTTTACTCTTAACTATGAGATTGACAAATTTATTATTCCCTTGATAAGTAAAATTGTCTTTTATTTAATTAATAAGTGATTAACTACAAATTCCTAAAACTGTGAGATTTTCATTGTGGACTTCTATTTTGGGACATGAGTGTTTAAACGGATGTCCAAGTTACTCCTTCGTCGAGTGTCTAATAAAAGAAGCATGAAGCTTTTAACCTATCTATGACACATGAACACGTCAGCAGGACATTATAGGAAAGTTGCACAGTTAGGCCATGACATATACACCCAAATGCACATATAGATGTACTCTGTGTACATATATATATATGTGTGTGTGTGTGTGCATATCTGTATCTATCTATACAGAAGGTATGTGTGTATGTATGTGTGGATGTACATCCCTATCTATCTATACAGAAGACGTGTGTGTATGCATATCTGTATCTATCTATACAGAAGGTATGTGTGTATGTATGTGTGGATGTACATCCCTATCTATCTATACAGAAGACGTGTGTGTATGCATATCTGTATCTATCTATACATAAAGCATGTGTGTATGTTTAAGATGTGTGTAATATGTTAAGGTTGGGGTGGTTGGTGTCATAGATGTACTTATGTGCATATATGTGTGTATGCATATTCGTATCTATCTGTACCTAAGACATGTATGTATGTGTGGAGGCACATTCCTATAGAAGATGTGTGTGTGTGAGTGTAAGATGTGTGTAATATCTGGGTGATTTATGGTTGTATGATGAATAGTTTGAGACACGATATCTGCGAATTGGGGAAGCCAAATATTCAGACTGCACAGAAGTTGATGGTCACTTCGCGTATTGAACGGATGTATCATTGCTTGCTTCCCTCAACACGCCACTAGCTTCCACCCTTCTCTCCTAGTATTTGAAGATCAACAGCTGCCAATAGTCCAGTGTTTGATTCAATCATCACCAAAACGAACTTGGGTACGGTTTTTGTTTTTTGAAGTATATAACATTACGGCAAATACTCTCACACAACCCTCATCTCTGGTGAGGTTTGACCTCCCTAGAGGCTGGCTAGTAACTCGGGCACCGCTGGGCCAATGACCCTGTGGTTGCTTGGGTACACTTTATCAGCATGATCTTGTATTCAACCAAGACCAAGTGATTGATATTTTGCTTAATCACCTTGTAATGGGATTGGTTTAGCTTAATCGTTTGTTGGATCATCTTTTCCTTTAACGAAATGAATTTTTGTGTCTTTCTTTTGCATACATATTGAACTCGAATGCTTGTATCTATAAGCTTATGAATGAACAACTCGCAAATAAGACGTATAGAAGTTGTACAAAATTTCAAAGGGTTACAAGTTTCAACCTTTCAAGCGACCTTTGAAGGTGCTGATTGAAAACATGATTACTATTGTCCTTTAGAGGTAATTTTTTAAGACATGCGTATATAAGGATATTTGCCTTGTGATGCTCCGTTATTGTTTGTTTTGTATGTTAAATAAAAGTTTGAATGATGGAATTATTATTGTAATTATTTGTCTTTGTTAAACGTTAAATGAAAAGCATTAAAGTAAATGAATATTTATTTAAATTCGATAAAAGTAAAATATTAATATATAGATTTGTAATATGTTGTTTTTTTAACTTCAAACGATGAACCTGTATTGTAATTATTAGCCCTAATTTTCTATACGTTTTCTATAAATTATAAAGTTTTCATGATTTATTGATCTAAACTCATTATATGTTAATTTAGCATTAGATAATTGGAAATTTTTTGCATGTACGAGACTTATTTTCATTTTTATCAAATGGTAGAAACATAAATGCTAGACAACTTAGGGGGTGTTTGGTTTGTTGGAATCTGATTCTGTTGACGAAATTTCATTTCAATGCTTGGTTATCCATGAAATGAAATTGAATTCCAAGCATTCAAGTAGCCCACTTCCAAATTTTATGTCTCGTTTTCACTATATTGAGCTTTACATTGTCAAGAATATTGGAATGACGGTCTTTCTAAACTTCCCATAGGATAAATAAAGCAATAGAATTGTGTAAAAAAGAATACTGGGAGCAAATAGCATCAGTCCACCAAGATTCAAGCCGTTGTGCGAGAGATTAAGCTTGGGATATTGAAATGTTAAGATGAGACGCGAAGGACTAAAGGGATGTAGCCAACTCTCCTTGAACAAAGAGATTTGAGATGGATTTACTATGAGGGTTGGAACAACAAAGACAACATGAGGGAAACCGAAAACCCAGAGACTTGATACGCTCATCAGTGGATATTGCCTTACGCATAAGTCGCCAAACAAAACCTRCAATTTTTGGGTGTACCCATTTATTCCAAACATATTTCCACCGGTAGACAAAGGATGAGAAGCCCACATCGATTCCCATGCACTAGAAACAGAGAAGGCATCCATCAGGATGAAGTAGCCAGTGAAGTTTGCCCTCATAAACCTCAGAAAGACAACCCCACATAGATTGAAGTTTAAGGATTTCACCATTCCTTCACAAAGGAGATGGGATTGAAATCCATTCCATCCAAAATCTTATAAATGACAAAAATGCACTCGTTACAACTTCATAACCCTAACTGCACTTTTTCCATTCTTATCTACTGCTTCCAATCAATTATCGGTGTCTCTCATCTGGAACAATTCTGTTTCATCTTCTTCATTGATCGAAGACTGCAGGTAGGTTTTTTCTCTCCATTTCTCCACAAACGAACCTAGTTCATCTTCTTAACATGTTGTTATCTTTTTTTGTTATGATTTCTCCTTTACATGATAGTTGAGATTAATGGTTAAACTGGTTATCCAAGTAGTTAAATATTTGTTATTTCAAGTTTTAAATATCAAAATGAAGATTATAGAAGTAGATATGTTACTAATAAATCATACACAATCTAAAAATTATTATATTTGAGGACTTGTTTTTTAAAATAACAATTTCCTCCCGACCCTGATAATCTTCTATAGAGAAAAGGGGTGGCAGCCTTTTCCCTTCTTGGTTCATGACGTTTGACTCTCCATTCCTCTTAATGAGGTAACATCTTAAGACGCATGATAAGCTTTGATTTTGGGAAGCCTATCATAATCTTGCGTGTGGTTTTTGCCATAAGGTCTGACTTTCATCAGCATCTCTTCTTTGAGTGCTCATTCCTTAATCAGGTTTGGAATGCCCTAAAACCCAAGTTGAACCTTCCCGTTGTCCCGGATAACTAGACTAACATCGTTAGAGACTTCAAGCAAGCCACCAAACACAAGACCATCTAGTCTATTATTCGAGATTAGTGTTTGCTGGAATTGTCTACCATATTTGACAGGAGAGAAATGAGTGTACATTAAAAAAATAAGAGAAGATCTTATGATATGGTGGTCATGACCATCTCTGATGATGTCCACTCTAGGCTGCTTAGCCTGACCTTTAAGCCTTCCTCAAACGTTGTCCAGGCTAAGCTTATTTGAAACCTTCCCTAGTGGTTGGTCCTACTCCTTTTCTCTCTCTTCTTTCCTCCTCCTCTCTTTGTTCTGAGTTTTATTCTTTTCTGGTGATTGCTTCGATTTAGCTTTTCTCTCAATTGCTGACATTGATTTTATTTTCCTATATTTTATAGAATACGTTTTAATAATTTTTTCTTGATCGAAGGAATCTTCCCCTTTATATCAAAAAAAATAATGATTTAAATTATAATAAGTATCGCAACAACAAAAATTTAAATAAAAAATAAAATTTATATGAAGACCAAGTTATCACTTAAAAATTCACTTGTTATAGAAATAAAACTCATTTTAATAGAAAACAAAAGAAAAATAAAGGAACCACGAAACTGTGAAGATCGATCAAAATAGTCATTTCTTTCTCATATATATATATATATATATATATATATATATA